AAGCATGTGTTTGAAAAATCAAAACACCAAGGAACCCAATTGAGCAAGCAAAGAACAAAATAGGCAAACTAACAAAAACCCACAAGCAAAGATATCTGCTCAAGTCTTAAAAGTTCATGGAGTGATATTTTATGTGGGGAAGCCCAGGAAAATTGAGGCTTTAGACTCAACAATCCACTAGCTAGCTAGCTAGCTACCATAGCTCAGCAATCAATCAAATCTATGAAAATTCAAAACATATAGAGTTGGAAGTTTACAAAAGCAAGAGATCATGAACCCCCCAGATGAATAAATTTTTTTATGAACAAGAAATCTCAAATGAAACAACAGAAAGGGTGAGGGAAAGAAGGAGATTTAAGAAGAAGAAAACAAACTTCAGAGGTTGAAAGCTAGACAGACCAAGAAGCCCAAATCTTAGGGGCATGCAAATGAACAGTAGGACTGACCTCAACACATCTCACCATAACAAAGTCTAGTGTAAATCTCATGACCAGATTCTGATAATTTTTTCATTTGTTCAAACCGGAAGCTAATGAGCGGTCAAACCATCCAAAAGACCCAGAAATTCAAAACACATGAAAAACGAGAATTCCGTTCAAGCTAAGGAAACAGAAGAAGACCAAAGAAAAAGAAGAAGAGAAAAAAACCAAAAAGAAGCAGTCTTTGGGCAAGAGAAAACAAACCACAGATCAAGGAAACCGCTGAGCAGATGATGGTATTGGTTTTGAAGCTCTTTTTTTTCTGGGTTGGTTTGGACTGGAAATGAGAAAAAAAATGAAGTCTTTGTAGAGACTAACAAGCAACAAAAGAGAAAGGGAAGAAGAGAGAGAGAGAGAATAGTGAGAAAACAGCACCACCCACTCACACATCAAAAGGGCATCAGGTTCTCTTTCTCTCCAAAAAGCAGGTTTGTACCATTAAACACCACGATTCACCTCCCATCTGTGAATATGCGTTAAGAGAGTTTTGAAGAGAGAGAGAGAGAGAGAGAGAGAGTGTGTGTGAGAGATAGAGATGGAGAGAGAGAGAGAGAGAAAGTAAGAGAGAGGAAGAGTGTGGTGTTTTCCTCTATAAAAATAAAAAATAAAAACAAAGAAATACATAGAAAGCTGTCCTATCCTATACCTACCCTACAGCCCCTCATATGTCATACAAATTTCTTTCATTTTTTAATTCTTGATTTTTATCATGCCCATCGCCGTTGCCATTGCCCCTCTCTCAATTGTCTGTTTTGCTCTCTTTCTTTCTCCCAAATTCCAATCTCAGACGCCCATCTTGTCCCACTACACGACAAACTCTCCCTGTTGACAATTATCACCACCGTGGAAATATCACTTTTAACCCCCCTCCCTCCCTCTTCTTTTATCTATTTCAAAATGAAAAACAATTGAGTTTTTTTTCAATCGGTTAACATGTTATGTTGTTAAACAGACTAATATGTCAACTTAGTTGAGTAATTCAAATTCTCAAACAGTTTGATATGGTCAGTCCAGCCTCGATATGTTACGTTGTTATCCAATTTAACTTGTTAATAAGTTCAATGTATTTACATCATCTATTAGTCATATATACTATGGTATATTATCAGACAACTTGATATGTTATGTATTCTAGTAATTTAACATGTTAATTAGTTCAATGTATTTACATCATTTATCAGTTGTGTATTAAGTTATATTGACAAATAATATAATATGTTATGCATTTTAGCAATTCGGCATGTTACATTATAATTGAACATGTCAAAAGTATGTATGGAATAAAATTTTATACTATGAATGAATATCAAGCCATCATATTTGAATGTAACCCCACCCTAACTGATGTTCCAATAATATAACATGGCAAATTAATATATATATATATATATATAATATTAGAGTCTTATGTCTCGTTTGGTTCACGGAATGAATTTAAGGGGAAATCATTTCTCATGTCATTTTCCAAGTGATAGAAAATGGAAAATTCATTTTCCATGTTTGGTAATGCTAGGAAAGTAACCGGGAGATATCACTTTATTTCATTCCCCATGTTTGTTTTGAGTAAGAAGTTTGTATAAATTTTTAATTATACTCATATTAAATCAAATAAAAAAAGAACGCATTTAATGATATATTGTAATTCTAAATTATTAATGGGAACGAAATGGTCATGAAAAATATTCATTTTCCCAAACTTTCCCTTGATGAGGGAAAACAAAACCCAAGTTGGAAGGATGGTTTCACTTTCCTCTCTACTTTCTCATTAGTGAGGCAACGATTTCCATATCTAACTTACCAAACATGAGACAGCAAAAATATAACATATAACTATTTTTTTAAATTTGGTTGGATATTATTGTTGTTATTAGAAAAACATAGATAAAACTTAAAAGGCAATCTACCATCAGGATACTGTTTTGTAATCTTAGCCTGCAGGGCCCTGCTCCTCTGTTATGGTGTGCCCTACCCATTAAATACAAAGAGACTCGTAGTCTTATTTATTTATTTATTTATTTATTATTTATGTATTAAATTTGGAGTTGGAGGCCTCAAAACACTGCAGTTTTCGCTTTCTGAGCGACTTTAATGGTGAACCTTGGCACCTATCATAATGTCCCCTCCTTTTTAACTATTATCGTATCTGTTACGTTCACCCATTTTTTCCAACATCATTATTAATTGTCGTTCTTGTTATTTATATATATATGCACAATTATTGTCCTTATTTAACCACACATATGCTCTTCTTTTGGTAACCAAAAAGATAATAATAAGAATTAATTAGATCAACATTATGCATTATATGGAAATTAAGACCCAACTACTAATAGTTTAATCAAATCGACGGGATAAGCTACCAACTAACTAACCTTTGGTCTAGTAGTATTTATCTCAACTTTAGTTGAATGAGGTCTTGTATTCGACTCACATAAATGACCATGACTATAAAAATATTCTATCATTGTGATCCGTTGTAACTTGGTTATATTTTATACATATTCTATCGCTTGTCTAAAAAGGATTAAATCTTATGCTAGTTACATTTTTAGATATATATGAGCTTTATACTTTATTGAACTAGATTAGAATGAATAAGTGATTAGCATTTAATATCTTTAACCACTTTAAATTATCAATTTCTTTATCGCTTTGACTTTTACCTCTTCTATAGAGCTACTTTCATCACACATGGTGGGAGTATTAAGATTAAGTTTAAACTTAGCCACTAAGAGAGAGAAAGAGAGAAAAAATAGGGAGAGAAAGCTTCATATCCGGGGGTTTTCTTTTGGATTTCGTTGGATCTTTGGTGTTCTTTGGCTTTTGGTGGACCTATGTCAATTTACTCTTCTTTTGACATTGCTCATTGGTGCATTGAGGTTTTGAAGTAACTAGGTGGCGTTTTGTATGTCATGTCTCGAAGGAAGATTAGCAATTGGTTTTCCTTTTGTTGACGTAGTTTTAACTTTTTAATTTTGGTTTAATTTGTTCAAAAAAGTCCATAACCTCTTTGAATTTTCTATGTTCTTTCTCGCATAATTTCATAAACTAGTTTACTAAATGTTCTTAGTCTCTTTAGGAGAGTCATGTCGGTTAATGGCTAGTTTTTCTCATTGATGTTATCGGACTAGGTTCGGAGAAACTATGACGATTGAAATGAGTTATAGAAAAGTTATTTTTAGGAATAATTTTCTCCAAATCATTTTAGCCTTTCGAGAGGGTCACGTTGAAATAACTATTACGAATTGAAAACCCAAAAGAAAAAGGAAAAAGGTTAAACATTTGTTGTTCAAAAGATGTAAAAGTAATTTTCTTTTAATCAGTTACAAATATTAAGAAATGAATATCTAAACTTTGTTCCAAGTAAGAAATGGCTGCCGACCAAAATTCTTTTCTTTTTTATCAAACTGATGAAAACAAAAAAGTATTGTGTAACAATGATGAATATGCTATGCTTTATGACCCAAATAATAAGAACAAAAATAATAAAATCCTTTGTACGTATCTGAATATTACACATGAGACATGCCAGAGGGTAATATTTGTTACTCGTATTAATCCAACTGTCCACCTCTCCACCAGAAAAAACGAACAAATTCGTACGTCTCTCCGTGTATTAAGCTATACATATAATTTTTTTTGTTGGCAAGTATTAAGCTATATATTGTTACTCAAACCAACGCAAAAAACTTTATTTGATTGAAATTTTTATTTATGGTATATTTTGGTGGAAAATAATTAATAAAACGAAAATACTTTTTTCTTTGACAAGTAATAAACTATTTACCAAAATACTTCTACAAAGGACGACTAAGAATAAGGCTAAGCAACTATAATTAGCAATAGCAACGGCGGTTCGGGGCCAGGTATGGTAATACCATCCTCGTTCTAATTCCCCATCCCTCCGTATCAGGTAAAACAATTTCAGGGAATTCCCATCCCTGTCGGGGTACCTCCCAAACCCACTCTGAATCCCCAATTTTTTTATTAAAAAAAATTTATCATACATTATGTCACTTAAATTTCATCTTAAATTATCATTCAACTCAATTACATCCAATTGTATCATAAAATCCAACTCAAGAACTAAAAATAATATCAATTCAATTTGACAAAACTAAATAAATATTATGTTATGTCGTAATCATACATGGCTATATTATACTATATATTAATTAAAAATAAATATATTACTTATTAGGCCAGGTATGGGTATAGGAATGGGGATAACAGTACCAAATTCGGGGATCCCAGTACCTACCCCTAAATTTCCCTCGAAATCTCCCCCAATTAGGGTCGGGGATTCAATAGAAATCCAGCCTAGCCAGAATTTATGTCATCTCTAACTATAATAGACTAATCACAACTAGGGATTGAATCTAAAATTTCTTCTAACCAGATAAAAATCACTATTTCCGGACCAAAAATTAATTTGTTAATAAAATCACGATTCATTCAAACTAGAATTGTGCATTGAAGGTAAAATAAGTTGTTTAATATCCAAGTATGCAATGTCTTGTCTAACAACTCAATTCTCATGTGAAAATAAGAATTTCGGTTTCGTTTTATATCCGATATAGTCCATAAATTTTTGTTTGTTTATTAATAAAAAAATGTATCAAAGCCTGTTTCTGGGGCACAGCAACGAGCTGTTTTCTGGAAACATTCATGCACCACTCCAAAGGGCGCATGAAAACAAAAAAACATGGGACATTTTCTAACAAGTGATGTGCTCCCAAGTCATGTACTCAAATTTTTGGGAATTAAATATTTGAATTTTTGGGAAGAAAAAAAAAATTCAACTGCTAAAAATTTGTAAATAATGTGTTTTTGAAACTCTCGCAATCTATCTTATCGATGTAATAAAGACATAAATCCCACAAATCCAATGTTTGAAAAAGCACTAAATTACAGTTATTTTTAAAAACAATTTTAAAAATTAAAAGTTAGAGGTGTGGTGACAAAAACAAAGTGCAAAAAAAAACCTCCTAAAGCTAATAACTTTTGCCAATATTATCGATCACTGTTCTCCCCATGCGTGGGTGGAGTGCTGTATGAGTCTATGTCATATTAGTAGCTAGCACATGTAACATGTTTCTTCTTCCTTTACCTTTTTTCCTTTTGGTTTCTAAAAATTAGTGGCTAAACATTTATAACGTGGACAACAATTATCTACGTCAGGGCTGGTTTGGTTGGCAGATTGAACTTGTTGGAATGAATTTTTTATGTCTAATTTCATGAGATGAGAATGGAGTATACTCATTCTCATGTTTGGAAATGTTAGGAAATAATGATCTAGAAACGTCATTTTATCTCATTCCCATGTTTGGTTTGAGTAGTATTAGAAATGAAAATTTGTTCAAATTTCCAACAATACCCCCTTTTTTTTTAATTACAAAGAAAGAAATACAATTTGTTTTTCTAAGGTTAAAACATGGTATTTTAAAAATGGAATAGGGTTAAATTAGTCATAAAAATTTACATGAAATGTTTTCCCAAGTGAGGGGAAATTTTTTCTCAAGCTTA